TTGAGAGTCCCTTGGACTGCAAGGAGATCAAACCAGTCAATCCTAAAATAAATGAATACTGAATATTCATTAGAAGGACTGATGCTGGAGTCGAATTCCAATAATTTGGCCACCTGAAGTGTAGAGGCGACTCATTAGAGAAGACCGTGAAGTTGGGAAAGCCCGAAGGTAAAAGGAGAAGTGGGCAACAGAGGTTAAGATGGTTAGATAGCATCACTGACTCAGTAGATGTGAGTTTTGCTCAAACTCTGGGAGATGGTGAAGGACAGGGAAGTCTGGCATGCTGCAGGCCACAGGGTTGCAAGGAGTCGGACACAACTTAGTGACTGAACAACAACAATGGTCTGTGCAGTTTCCACACTAATTAAATGAGATGATGTTTACAAAGTTGTTTGCAAACTTCAAAGCACTACACCTAGAGCACTGCCTTTCTGTAGGGGTGAAAGAGAAAGGACAAATGAGAAGACGCCTTGGAGACAGCAGAGCCTAGACCAGAATGGCAGAAGTTGTGGGACAGTAAATGGCGTGTCAGAGATCATGCCCAACCAGAAGAGAGAGACCTTTGACAATATGTTTCTTCCCGTCTGTGAATGTGAAGCATTTGTAGCCTTTATCTAAGCCAAGGACAGAGTAAGCCATGAGAAATTCTGCCTGAGCCCATTCTGGCAACATTGTATGAGTTCAAATTGGCATTTGAAGATCTGGATGAGAATACAGAGATGTGAGGCTAGAGAACACTCAGAGCAGGAAGGTCTCCTAAGTCCTTAAACATAAAGAAGGTCTTCTGAAGAAAATGACAGCAAGGGACAAGGGTCTTTTCATTTATCTGGAATATACAGAGCAGAAATTGGATTCATTCTAAACAGAATTAAGCCTGAAGATGGAAACTACAGAGTGCAATTTCTTCTCAACATAATAAAGACTTTTCTATCCATTTAAATCCAGGTTGAGATTAAACAGTCCATGTGTGTGTGTGACTGTGTGTGAGAGAGAGAGACACTCAGTCGTATCTGACTCTTTGTGACCCCATGGGCTGCAGCCCACAAGGCACCTTTGTCCATGGGGACTCTCCAGGCAAGAATACTAGAATGGAGTGCTATTTTCCTGTTCTAGTATTCTTACCTTTGCAAAATGAGGGGACTTCACAGAATTTCACCTTATCAGATGCATGGTTGGATTCAGTCACCTGGAATGTTTCAACTGTTGGGTTTTTCCACCAGCCCTAGTGAATACTGAGGTGGTTGTATAAAGCAGAAGTTCTCAAAGTGTGGCTTGGAGACCTCTGGGTATCCTCAAGACCTTTGCAGGGTTTTCATAAGGTGAAAACTATTCTCTTAATAATGCCAAAATGCTATGTGTCTTTTTTGTTGTCATTTTCTCAAGATGATACACTGGTGTTTTCCAGAGGCTACAGCCACATGACACTGCAGCAGACAGAATGCAGGAACAGAGAAGAGGTTCCAGGAACTTCTACTAAGCCAAACATCAAGGAAACTAACAAAAAGATAAACAAGACCATTATTTTCACTAAACTTTGTTTTGTAAAACAATTATTATTCATAAAACTGTGTGCTACTGGGGACACAGCACCCTGGGGACTGCAAACCTGCGGATTTCAACTGAGAGCCACAATACTGAGCTCCATCTACAACACGTGGTCCCTGGTTGTGAGCTGTTGGTAGAGGCCATCAGAGGCTAGGGGTTAGGCCCTTGAGACCTTCCCTTCTGAGACCTGGTCAGCCTGACCCCACTCCAACCTGGGTCTCCTCCTTGGCGGTGCTGTCAGCGCACAGGCTCATGTGCATCCCCACCCACAACCCTGACCCTGACCATCTGTATTATATTTTAATGTATATGTGAATATATTGAAAATAATTTGTTTGTTTTTTCCTGGGTTTTGTTTTCTGTTTTGCTTTTAAGCCTCTATGTGCTAGGATCACAGCAGACTTTGTAAGGATGGTTTAAGTTCTCCTGCAAGGTTTAATTTGTTATCATGTAAATATTCCAAAGCAGGCTGCCTTGTGGTTTTGGCCAGCCTTGTGCTATGTTGATAAGATTGATTTACTGCTTAAAATCACTTTAGTTTATCCAATTTTTACTGAATTTTTATGTAAAAAATAAAATCAATTAAAGAAAAAAAAACATATTTCTACTAACATATAATCAGTTTATCAAATGAAGTAATAAATATTTTTTTAAAACTTTGCTCTTTTCAGTTTTAAAATAAGAAGTATCCACAGGCATGACCCACAGGGAAAGAAAAGCTCTTTAGGACCCTCAATAATTTAAAAGGTGTAAAGGGGTCCCAAGACCAAAAAACAGTCAGAAAAAAATATTGTCTCCCATAATAAGAAAAGGGGGAGGGATTTCACAGGTGGTACAGTGGTTAGGACTCCGAGCTCCCAGAAAAGGGGGCACAGGTTCCATCCCTACTCAAAGAACCAAGATCTCAGAAGCCATGCAGCACGGCTGGAAAAAAAATGAAAAGAAGAGAGAAAGAAAGGAAGGAAGGAAGAAGAAAGGAAGGAAAAAAGAAAGAAAGTAGGGAGATGTGAACAGGGTAAAAAAGCATTCTCTCTTCCCACTTCACAGCTACCTTTGCTGAGTTAACACCACTTTTGGCCTGCAACAGAACTAGGGTTTTCCACAAAGGTGGCTAATAGAGGTATCTGGGTGGTGGAACAGAGGACCCATGCTTTGGACTCAGATGGGCCTGAGTTTGAACCATGATTTTACCACCTCCCAGAGGTGGTAAATTACTTGCCCTCTCTGAGCCTCCCAGAGGTGGTAAATTACTTGCCCTCTCTGAGCCTCCATGATCTGTTCTATGTATTATTAAGACTACCAGGTTGTTGAGAAGATTGGACAGGATCTTTGTGTAGAATCTAACCCAGTGAGATACCTCTTAAATTACAGCTCTCCACATGGCTGTTGAGCAATCCCAGGTGAGGCCCAGGGAAGCTGTGTGACCTGATGAACAAACGGTGGTCTACACGTGATTTTCACCAACTCTCCCCACATAGTCCCCTCTCTAGACAAACTCCAAATCTTTAGACAGGTTATTCCTGAAGCACCTACTTTACCACCAACCACTGAAACATAACTTCCTCATCCTCTCTGCTCTGAATATAGCTGTGAGGGAGGAGAACAAACATTTAACATGGAATCAAAAACATATGTCATGCCCCACATTTATTGATATATTAGCTCTGTGACCTTCAACAAGCACTTTGCCTTTTTGAGCCTACTTCCTCATCCATAAAACAGAGAATAATAAAACCTGGTCTGTGGGGTGGTTGTGAAGGCTAAAGTAAATAATGTCTATGAAAACACTGAGCAAACAGTTATCAGATATATATGTGTATATATATATATATATATGTGTATATATATATGTAATATCTATCTATATAATATCTATATAATATCTATATCTGTATATATATATATGTCATTAATAAATCTCATCTCTTTTATGTTTAAATTGGATCTAACTTATAATGTTCCACAATGACTACTTAGTCAAAATTATCTTCAGGTAACTCCCTGAAGTCCTAATCAGGACACCATGCTTTCATTGCCATGTGCCCAGGTTTGACCCCTGGTCAGGGAACTAAGACTGTTAAAACTTAAGCTGACTGTAAGTCATGCAGTCAGAAAAAGAAGAAGAAAAAATTATCTCCACACATACACACATGCAAGTGTGTGTATGATTGGATAGTAACATGAAATTCGCACACATTTTTACAAGTCCACAAACTCTGTGAATGTCTTCTGGGCAATCCCCCCAATTAGTTTTTCTAAAGTCTGAAGTCAAGCCCTAATAAAGAGAAAACACTATGACATATCAAGCTTTATTTCTAAATACATTGACTTAAAAGTGGTTGTAATGTTAATAAGAGCAGCAATGAAGAACTTTCTTAGAAAATTAAAATGTGACTTTCAACTGGTTCTCTTCTTATGACCTGGTCACATAGGAGGGAAGAAGAGAGCTTGAGGAGGAGACACTTGCAGGGGTAAGAATTTATAAGCAGAGCTGCTAATGAAATCTTTTATCTGCAGGTGCTCTTTTATGGTCTCCCTGTCCTATTCTTCCACCATCTCTTCAAGCTGCTTGTATATTTTGGAAATTAATCCTTTGTCAGTTGTTTCACTTGCTATTATTTTTCTCACATTCTGAGGGTTGTCTTTTCACCTTGTTTATAGTTTCTTTTGCTGTGCAAAATATTTCAAGTTGAATCTGGTCCTGCTTGTTTATTTTTGTTTTTATTTCTCTAGGAGGTGGATCATAGGGGATCTTGCTTTGATTTATGTCATCGAGTGTTCTGCCCATGTTTTCCTCTAAGAGTTTTATAGATTTTGGTCTTACATTTTGGTCTTTATTCCATTTTGAGTTTATCTTTGTGTATGGTGTTAAGAAGTGTTCTCATTTCATTCTTTTATATGTAGCTGTCCAGTTTTCCCAGCATCAATTATTGAAGAGGCTGTCTTTGCCCCGTTGTATATTCTTGCCTCCTTTGTTAAAAATAAGCTACCCATTGTGCATGGGTTCATTTCTGGGCTTTCTATCTTGTTACATTGGACTATATTTCTGTTTTTTGCCAGTACCATACTCTTTTGATGATTGTAGCTTTCTAGTATAACCTGAAGTCAGGAAGGTTGATTCCTCCAGCTCCATTCTTCTTTCTCTAGACTGCTTTGGCTATTCGTGGTATTTTGTGTTTCTATATGAATAGTGAAATTTTTTGTTCTACTTCTGTGAAAAATACCATTGGTAATTTGATAAGGATTACATTAAATCTGTAGATTGCATTTGGTAGTATATTCGTTTTCACAATATCAATTCTGCATTTGGTAGTATAGTCATTTTCACAATATTGATTTTTCCTACCCAGGAACATGGACTCGCTCCATCTGTTTTTTTTTTTTTTTTTCATATTTGATTTATTTCATTAGTGTCTTATTATAATTTTCTGTGTACACTTCTTTTGTCTCCTTAGGTAAGTTTATTCCTCGATACTTAATTCTTTTTGTTGCAGTGGTAAGTAAGATTGATTTCTTAATTGCTCTTTCTGATTTTTCATTGTTCGTATATAGAAATCCAAGTGATTTCTGTGTATTGATTTTGTATTCTGCAACTTTGCTAAATTCACTGATTAGACCTACTAATTATCTGGTACTATCTTTAGGGTTTTCTATTTACAGTGTCATGTCATCTTCAAGCAGTGAAAACTTTACTTCTTTTCTGATCTCATTTCAGTTCAGTTCAGTCGCTCAGTCGTATCCAACTCTTTGTGATCTCATAGACTGTAGCACACCAGGCCTCCTTGTCCATCATCAACACCCAGAGTTTACTCAAACTCATCTCCATTGAGTTGGGGATGCCATAAAACAATCTCATCCTCTGTTGTCCCCTTCTTCTGCCTTCAATCTTTCCTAGCATCAGAGTCTTTTCAAATGAGCCCATTCTTTGCATCAGTGGCCAAAGTGTTGAAGTTTCAGCTTCAACATCATTCCTTCCAATGAATATTCAGGACTGATTCTCTTTGGGATAGACTGGTTGGATCTCCTTACAGCCTAAGGGACTCTCAAGAGACTTCATCAACCCTACAGATCAAAAGCATCAATGCTTTGGCGCTCAGCTTTCTTTGTAGCCCAACTCTGACATCCATACATGACTACTGGAAAAAACATAGCCTTGACTAGATGGACCTTAGTTGGCAAAGTAATGTCTCTGCTTTTTAATATGCTGTCAAGGTTGGTCATAACTTTTCTTTCAAGAAGTAAGCGTCTTTTAATTTCATGGCTACAGTCACAATCTACAGTGATTTTGGAGCCCACAAAAACATAGCTTGCCACTCTTTCCACTGTTTCTCCATCTATTTGCCATGAAGTGACGGAACCAGGTGCCATGATCTTTGTTTTCTGAATGTTGAGCATTAAACCAACTTTCCCACTCTGCTCTTTCACTTTCATCATGATTCTCTTTAGTTCTTGTTCACTTTCTGCCATAAGGGTGGTATCATCTGCATAACTGAGGTTACTGATATTTCTCCCTGCAATATTGATTCCAGCTTGTGCTTCATCCAGACCAGTGTTTCTCATGATGCATTCTGCATATAATTTAAATAAGCAGGGTGACAACATACAGTCTTGACATGCTCCTTTCCCTATGTGGAACCAGGCTGTTGTTCCATGTCCAGTTCTAACTGTTGCTTCCTGACCTGCATACAGACTTCTCAAGAGGCATCTCAGGTGGTCTGGTATTCCCATCTGTTTAACAAATTTCCACAGTTTGTGGTTATCCACACAGTCAAAGGCTTTGGCATAGTCAATAAAGAAGAAATAGATGTTTCTCTGGAACTCTCTTGCTTTTTTGATAATCCAGTGGGTGTTGGCAATTTGATCTCTGGTTCCTCTGCCTTTTCTAAATACAGTTTGAACATCTGCAATTTCCTGGTTCACATATTGTTGAATCCTGGCTTGGAGAATTTTGAGCATTACTTTACTAGCATGTGAAATGAGTGCAATTCTGTGGTAGTTTGAGCATTCTTTGACATTGCCTCTCTTTTGGATTGGAATGAAAAGTGACCTTTTCCAGTCCCATGACCACTGCTGAGTTTTGCAAATTTGCTGGCATATTGAGTGCAGCACTTTCACAGCATCATCTTTTAGGATTTGAAATAGCTCAACTGGAATCCCATCACCTCCACTAGCTATGTTTGTAGTGATGCTTCCTAAGGCCTACTTGACTTCACATTCCAGGATGTCTGTTTCTGGGTGAGTGATAACACCATCGTAATTATCTGGGTCATGAAGATCTTTTTTATCCATTTCTTGTGTATTCTTGCCACCTCTTCCTAACATATTCTGCTTCTTTTAGGTCCATACCATTTCTGTCCTTTATTGAGCCATTCTTTGCATGAAACAGTCCCTTGGTATCTCTAATTTTCTTGAAGAGATATCTAGGTTTTCCCATTCTATTGTTTTCCTCTATTTCTTTGAACTGATCACTGAGGACGGCTTTCTTATGTCTCCTTGCTATTCTTTGGAACTCTTCTCTTTTGCTTTTCACTTCTCTTCTTTTCAGAGTGATTTGCAAGGCCGCCTCAAACAGCCATTTTGCTTTTTAACATTTCTGTTTCTTGGGGATGTTCTTGATCCCTGTCTCCTGTACAGCATCACAAACCCCTGTCCATAGATCATCAGGCACTTTGTCTATCAGATCTAATCCCTTGAACTATTTCTCACTTCCACAGTATAATCGCTAGGGATTTAACTTAGGTCATACCTGAATTGTGTAGTGGTTTTTCCTACTTTCTTCAATTTAAGTCTGAATTTGGCAATAAAGAATTCATGATCTGAACCAAAGTCAGCTCCCTGTCTTGTTTTGTGCTGACTGTATAGAGCTGCTCCATATTTGGCTGCAAAGAATATAATCAATCTGATTTCAGTGTTGACCATCTTGGTGATGCCCATGTGTTGAGTCTTTTCTTGTGTTGTTGGACGAAGATGTTTGCTATGACCAGTGTGTTCTCTTGACAAAACTCTATTAGCTTTTGTCCTGCTTCATTGTGTACATCAAGGTCAAATTTGCCTATTCCTACATGTATTTCTTGACTTCCTGCTTTTGCATTCCAGTCCCCTATAATAAAAAGGACATATTTTGGGGGTGTTAGTTCTAAAAGGTCCTGTAGGTCTTCATAGAACCATTCAACTTCAGCTTCTTCAGCCTTACTGGCCGGGACATAGACTTCGATTACTGTGACATTGAATGGTTTGCCTTGGAAAAGAATAGAGATAATTCTGTTGTTTTTTTAGATTGCATCCAATTACTGCATTTTGGACTCTTTTGTTGACTATGATAGCTACTCCATTTCTTCCAAGGGATTCTTGCCCACAATAGTAGATATAATGGTCATCTGAGTTAAATTCACCCATTCCAGTCCATTCTAGTTCACTTAGCCCTAAAATGTAGATGTTAATATGCACTTTTACTGTTTACTTTTTACCAGTCAATGAGAAAAAGGTAAATAAGTTGGCAAGGATGCGTGGAATGAGATGCCAATGGCCCTTTAAACCTGTGGTTCTAGCCTTCAGCTGTGAGCTGAAGATCACAGGGCAATGAAGGTGATTAAACACTATGGTGGTAGACCCCTGGCTCACTCACATAAATCCCTTAAGCCAGCAATACTTCTTAGGATTAATTTGCTAATAGCAAAAGATTCATAAAAGATGCGATGGAGAAATAGCTTCTGGGACAAAATCTTTCCTCTTGGGGCAAAGACAAGTGATCCTGTCAGCAAACCAGCTGCAGAGGTTACATGCTCGGTCAAGTGAGGCCTGGCTAACGCATTCATCCACGGGCTTGTCCCAGGACTCCTCATTCGAGAACCATGATCCTGGCTGTAAACAGTTTTCAGGGGGGTGAGGGAGCCTAGAAGGTTGAACATTACTCAATGTGGAACATCATTAACATTGTTCTGAGTAGTCACTGAGAGGACCTCAACCTCTGCCATGCTCAACACAAGCCTGAGAGCAACGAGAAAGGGTTTGGGGTCAGTGGGCTTAGCAGAGGCTTTACTGCACACCCCGGGCAGCTTGCATTGTTCCTCAGAAGTCTGTTTCTCTCATAGTCACTTGGACTCCTATATAGAAGCAACTCCCCCAGCTGTACCCCCATGGACCATGAAAACTTCACAGCAGGTATTAGACCAGCCCCATAAGGAAACATGCAGCTCAGGCACAAGACAAGTTATTATTATAACGACTGCACCCTGATGCAGACACACCTACCCATCACAGAGATGTGATGAAAGGGTGCAGGCTAAGCAAAGCCAATAACAACATGTGGGGAGGAGAGGATGGAGAAGGTGAGATGTTTGGAGAGAGTAGCACAGAAATTTACAAGACCATATGTAAAATAGATAGCCAATGGGAATTTTCTGTATGACTCAGGGAACTCAAACAGGGTCTCTGAGACAGACTGAAGAGTAGGATGAGGAGGGAGATTGGAGGGAGGTCGGGGGGGCAGGGACATGGGTGTACCTATGGCTGATTTTTGTTGATGTATGACAGAAAACTGCAAAATTCTGTAAAGCAATTATCCTTCCATTTCAAAAGTTTTCCCAAAAAAAACCCAATAACTACTGAAAAGATTGGGCTTTGGTGTTTATAGAAGAAAAAAATGCAGCATAGTGGATTTGACACAAAGGCATTTCCACAAGGCAGGACTTTAGAACACTCTTTCCTGCAAAGAGAGGTTCCAGGATTCAACAGCCACTGAACCACTTACCACCTTACCACAGAAAGAATTGGATGCAATGTTGTTGTTAAATCACTAATTCATGTCTGATTTTTGCGACCCCATGGACTGTAGCCCACCAGGCTCCTGTGTCCATGGAATTCTCCAGGCAAGAATACTGGAGAGGGTTGCTATTTCCTTTTTCAGAGGATCTTTGCGACCTAGGGACTGAACAGAGTCTCCTACATTGACAGTCAGATTCTTTACTGTCGAGCCACCAGAAAAGCCCCAATGCAGTATATCCTCTTGTTAAATTAGAAACCACAGCAGCATCTTTAAATATGGATGTTTCATGTGCACACACAGAAGGCAGGTGGCCCTAGTTTTGGTTCCCCCAGAATCACACCCTAAAATGAGAATTCTAGAGCAAGTAGTTTCCTTTGGAGATGTGCTTTGCAGAGGAAGCATGGAGAGCTTCCATAGAGATAGGAAGGCAGTCAAGAAAAGGTGCATTTCAAGAAAGATTAAGGGAGCTTAATCCTGCAGGAAAACTCTGTAAGCCTATGGAGAGTTATCTGAGTTATCGTGTTTGAGGATGAAGGACCTGGGGTATTTATACTCCAGTTCCTATGGGTCATAAAGCATCAATTCCTTGACATTTTCAGTCTGCCCTGAGCACTGACAAAGTAGGTTTCAGGCATGAGGAAAAAAACTTCTGAGCACTGACGAGATGCTGGCAGTGTAGTGTCTGGCTGGCGTATGCTGCAGCCACGAGGCAGAGGGGATGCGGGAAGGATCTGCCACACAAGTCCTCCTCAGGAAGTCTTCAAAAGGTTAGGCCAGGAGACAGAGTTTTTAGGCAAACATGTTGTTTCTCCCCAAAGATATTTTTCTCCCATTTTCTTCAAGCAGATCCAAAATCCTGGAGTTCCATTACTAGGAACAGGCAAAGGTACAAAAGTAGAAGCAGGTATTAGTTTGCTAGGGCTGCCTAGAACAAAGTGTCACAGACTGGGTAGCATGCACAACAGAAATTCTGTTGTTAAAAATAATTTTTAAAATTTATTTTGACTGTGCTGGGTCTTTGTTGCTGCACAGTCTTTTCTTTAGTTGTGGCAAGTGGCAGTTACTCTCTGGTTGTAGTGCACAAGCTTCTCATGTGGTGGCTTCTCTTGTTGCAGAGCATGGGTTCTAGGGCACACAGCCTACAACTGTTTCAGCCCACGGGTTCTAGAGCACAGACTCAACAGTTGGGTACATGGGGTAGTTGCTTCTCAGTATGTGGAATCTTCTCAGATCAGGGATCGAACCTGTACCTTCTGCATTAGCAGGCAGGTTCTGTACTACTGAGCTACCAGGAAAGCCCCCAGAAATTCATTTTTTGACAGTTTTGAAGGCTGGAAGTCCAAGATTAAGGTGTCAGCAGGTCAGGTTTCTCCTGAAGACTCTCTCCTTGGCTTGTAGATGGTGGTCTCCATCCTGAATCTTCAGATGGCACCTTCCCTGTACATGTCTAACCCTGTGTACCTTTATGCCTCCAAACTTCCTCTTCTTTAAGAACCAGTCAGAATGAATTAGGGCCCACTCATATGACCTCATTCAATGTTAATTACCTTTTTAAAGTACCTATCTTCAAACAGAAGCACATCCTGAAGTGCTGGGGTTAGGGCCTCAACATGCAAAGTTGGAGGAGGGCATACAATTCAGCCTATGACAGAGAGAAATGAGCATATTCTTCACTTAGATTTGTAAAATTTCTGTTAAGAACGAAAGCAGTGTTTTTACCAGGCTCAAGCAAACAATTACAGGCAAAAAACAAATAGGTGGAACTTTAACTGCTGTCTTTATTTGGAAGAGACCTTTCATGAGTTCCTTGGTATCTCAGTTCAAGATGTGGGATCACCTGCAATAAGATCAGCCTTGCCTTTCAGTAAATCCTAGCTCTACTGTATTAAAACATGAAATGCAGAAATGGTAAGGACCTAACAGAAGCAGAAGAGATTAAGAAGAGGTGGCAAGAATACACAGAAGACCTATACAAAAAAGGTCTTCATGACCCAGATAATCACGACGGTGTGATCACGCACCTAGAGCCAGACATCATGGAATTCGAAGTTAAGTGGGCCTTAGGAATCATCACTACAAACAAAGCTAGTGGAGGTGATGGAATTCCAGCTGAGTTATTTAAATCTTAAAAGATGATGCTGTTAAAGTGCTGCAAAGCCAGCAAATTTGGAAAACTCAGCAGTGGCTACAGGACTGGAAAAGGTCAGTTTTCATTCCAATCCCAAAGAAGGGCAATGCCAAAGAGTGTTCAAACTACCGCACAATTGTGCTCATTTCATGTGCTAGCAAGGTAATGCTCAAAATGTTCAAAATCCTTCAAGCTAGGCTTCAACAGTATGTGAACCAAGAACTTCCAGATGTACAAGCTGGACTGAGAAAAAGCAGAAGAACCAGAGATCAAATGGCCAACATCTGTTGGATCATAGAAAAAGCAAGACAATTCCAGAAAAAATATTTACTTTTTCCATGTTATAAACCCTTTGACTGTGTGGATCTCAACAAACTGTGGAACATTCTTAAAGAGATGGCAATGCCAGACCACCTTCCTTGCCTCCCAAGAAACCTGTATGCAGGTCAAGAAGCAACAGTTAGACCTCAACATGGAACAACAGACTGGTTCAGATTTGGGAAAGGAGTATATCAAAGCTGTATATTGTCACCCGGCTTATTTAACTTACATGCAGAGTATATCATGTGAAATGCTGGGCTGGATGATGCATGAGATGTAATCAAGATTGCTTGGAGAAATATCAATAACCTCAGATATGCAGATGATACCACCCTTATGGCAGAATTCAGGGCAAGGACAAGTGAGGGAGGGAGCAAAGTGAAAGGGAGAGGGCTGGTGGTCCAGGAACCCACCAGGCCATGGACTTCATGTGATTAATGGGTCCTCTTGATCAGCAACCCCCTCTCAGTGGACCATCTGGAGATGGATGGAAGGAGACAGCCCTCTCTGACCCTCCTCATTCTGTGTCAGCAGGCTTAGAGGATGCTTAGGCACGTGGGGCTGAGGTCCAGACCAGGACTGTGAACTTGGAGACCATTGTGTCAGGCTCTCGGCCCTTGTGTTTCTGTGTTTCTGCAACCACACATGAGGAACTGGGAGTCCTGGGGGATGAAGTTTGGCTGTCTGTCCTTTGGAAAGCCTTATGTGGGTATTGTCTTAAATGGTGTCAAGACCCTGGAAACGTGGTGGTGGCCCATGCTATGTGGCCACTGCCACTGTGCCCTGGCCATCCACATCGCACACTGGGACTCTGAGGACTCGGTCTGGTGGGAGATGCTGGAGCAGAGGCTGGGGATGAGCCCCGCCCAGACCCAGGCCTTGCTGCAGGACGGGGACAAGTTTGGCTGTGGAGTGATCATAGGCAAGTGACACCCTGCCCAGCGCTGCCCATACGGCCGTGGTGCTGCCCTAGATCCCAGCTGGGTTGTGCTTGTTTGTTTTCTATTGAACCAGTTGGTGGGGTAGGTGGGGCTGAGGTTTCTTCAGAGGAGTGGTGAGGGTCCTTTGGCTGGGAGATGATGGCCCGAAGTACCTACCACCTCTCTGGGCCTCAGTCCCTGTTCGTGCTCTGAGGCAGAGGTACAACCAGCTCTGCATGTGGCACTTGTCTCTGTGTGTGTCCCCACACGTGTCAGTGTGCCTGGCAGAGACCATGAGAGGCAGGAAAGCACCTAGCCTGGGTTCCAAACCCCCAGTGCCTGCAGCAAGTCCCCTGACTCCCCGGGGTGAGGTCACACAGCAACACCTGTCTGCTGGTAAATCCCTTAGGGACCTGATGTCTGTGGGTCCCCGCTGGGGCCCTCGTGCTCTGTCCTCGCGGCCTGCAGTAGGCAGACTGAAAGCTGCCTATGGCCTGGTGGGTTCGTGGAGCACCAGTCCTCTCCCTTTCATTTCTCACCCTCCCTCACTTGGCCTCACCCCGAGTTCTCTTTGCTGAGGTGAGCCCCTCCAAAATGATCAGCCAGAGGACCCAGTTCACCTCGGGTTCCCTCCATGATACGGTGTTAGTCTCAAGCAGGTGCAACTTTGAATGACCTTGTTCTCATTCTGTGTCCTGTCTCTGCACATATCTCGTGGTCATCGGGGGTACTTTTCTGTGTCCCAAAACCTAGATCCTGACCAGGCGGAGGAGCTGGAGAATCAAGACTTGCTACCCGACCAGCAAGAAAAGTAACATGACTGCTCGCCAACCCCACTGGCTGTTGCAGCCCATCCCAGGGGGCAGGGGTAGGGGGAAAGACACCTTCCCGGTGGACATCTCTGAGCACCTGATCCTCTTTGGGCAGGAGGCCTGTCCAGACTGGACTCTCAAGAGGAAAGTGACCAAGAGACCAGCACATGCTGATACCATGCAGTTACTGCCGAGCTCTGGACTTGCCCATCTGATTCTATCTGAATCAGCCCCACGCTCTGGTGCCCACTTGGTGCGTGGCCAAGGGCAGGGACTCCCCTCACAGGATGCTACTCTGGACTCAGCAAAAGCCTCTGGGACTTTGACCTTTATGAAATGATGGCGTTGCCACTCGTTTTGGCCGTGCTGGGTCTGTGTGGTTGAGAGAAATGTGTTGTTAGGAAACCGGTTAATGTCTTTCCCTCTCTGTTCTGGTCCAATCTCCCTGATGTTGGAACAGTGTCCTGGGGGTGACAGGGTAAGGCTGGGGGCAGGGCTGTGCATTGGCAGGCAGAGAGTCCCGCAGGCCCAGAAACAGGCCATGATTTATCCTTGCACACGACCCTTGTCCTATTGTAAAGTGTCCCTTGGCTGTCAAAGTGTGTGTGTTGGACGCAGTGCCTGGCCGCCTCACGTCCAAAGACAGGCTCCTAAGTACAGCTGTGAGGGCAGAATGACAAGGGCTGGTGTTCACCTTGTCGAAACCTTGTACTTGTCTGTGGCTTTGGGGTAATGTGTTTGCAAGGTGCTTGATGGTTGGGGTGACCCTGCTTTCCAGTCAGCCTCTTGGTAGGGGGGGGGCCTGGATCAGGAGCTGGGATGCTCAGCTGCTGATCAGAAACTTGTGGCATTATCAGGATACCCAGGAGGAGCCCCTTCTGCTGCAGGGTGCATGACTCATGGAAGGTGACACCCCCAAGGTCAGGAGCCCAGCTGGGCCATCTGCTGAGTGACAGGAAAGGCCCAGGGACCAGTCCACTCTGGGTTCACCGCAATGCTCAGCTCATGGGTCAGACCCTTGGATGAGCCTGTGAAATGCTGCTGTTTCAGATGAAAAGAGACCATGGGGACTGAATTGAAGCCTGTCTGGTGCATGGGCTTCCAGCCTCATCTGGCTCACCCTGTGCCATGTGTGAATACAAAGGGCAGATAGAAAGAACACAGGTTTGCAGTTCTCACTTGATTGTTTATTTACTCCAGTGGGGTTTTGCTTTACTTTATTAGAGCCAAAATTCTATTTTTGATTACAAGAGAGTGATTTTGAGTGTTCCTAGGGATCTGGCAGCTCAGGGATTCGGCTTGTTCTTGACCTGCTCACAGAGGGCGCACTTATAATCTGAGGAATCTCCCTGCTCCTCCTCTGACTCAGGGGCTTCATCTGGGGCCATGACTAAAAGGCCCGCCATCAGGATGGAGTAACAAGCGCTGTACAAAGTCATCAGCGATTCATAGTCTGGGTACACTGGGGGGCTCTCAGGCAGTTCCCCTGGGCTGTCCCTTCCAGGAGTAGCTGGGGGCACAGATGTGGCACTGTTGGATGGGCCTTCTCCACTGGGGCCACCCTGCTCACTGGGGAGATGGTTTCCCCCAGCCTGGCTGGCTACACTACCCATAGACCAAAGGTCAGAAAACACAAATAAGCACTGGCTGGGGTTTCTGCAAGCAGTGGGCATTGCCTTCTGGACTTTGTTGCCAGTCTCTTGGGTGAACTCGTTGTGGTGGAGTCGGGGAGAGTGTCTGGTCGCCATCACTCGCTTCTTTCTCTTTGGGGTCGCTGTTGTTCCAGTGGCAGGCTGAGAAGTTGTTCTGGGGTTGCCTTTCCTCTGTATGTTCTGCAGGAGGAGAGGCTTGTCTCTCTGAAAATTGGAGTTGCGATAGATCTGAAAGGAAATGAATCACTTTAGCCATGAGAGGGGAGAAGAGCCCTTCTTTGCTGCACTCTCCCCACAGCCATTCGGTCGTGCCTATGTATGGAGACCAGTTCTCTTCATTCCTGGCAGGTTATGAGGCCCTGGAATGTCACTCCCTAGAGCTCCCCCGGGGCCATCCTTGCTTGAGGTGTTCCCGACACTCCCTGACATCAAGTGGCCCCTCAGGATCTGGCGTCACCACCAAAGATCCTAAGGGGGGGGGGGGCGGTGATGGCGGGACACGACAGACTCTGCGTTCTCCTCTTTCCTTAACCACTCTCTCCTGAGAACAACATTCTCCTGGGGAATGAAACCCATCAGCACTCAGCTCATCTAGTCTAGTCTCCCCAGAAGGGCATTCTACATTACCATCATCTTCTTTCTTCCTGCAGAGCGACCTGAAGGGCGGATTTTTCTGAACCCATACAGGTTCAGTTCACGAATGAAGCTCTTTATGCTGTCTGTCTCGCAGATCTGATCCACGCCTCTGCGCTGGAGGACCTCCATCTGGAAGAGATCTGCCTCGATGACCACCGTGTCTCCCTTATCATTCCAGTGCACAGAGGTGAAGGTCGCATCCTCCACGATCCTCCAGAGCTTCCTGGGGAAGGACAGCCCAAAGCTGGCGTTGTTCTCATCCCCGTTGGCCATTTCTGGGTTCGGGCCCTGTGGGGGCAGATTGTCGTGGAGGCCTGAATCTGGGCTCTCAGGTTGGTCAACCCGCTTCTCCAAAGCCTCCCCTGAATCCACATTTGGATCTGGGGAGGAATCACGGGGGTCCCCTGCTGAGGGCTCCCCATCAGTTGATGGGGCCAGCAGCGCTGCCTGTGCCTCATGGGAACTCTGATTAGCCATTGAACCAATCGAGCTCGGGAGCATTATCTACCCAAGCAGTGAATGCTCAGGGCAAACAGGCCTCAGACCAGGGTCGGGGTGCCCCATAAATACTGTCTGGAGATTCTAGAATCTGAGTCATGGGACAGTCAGCCAATTAGGGGGTCAGCTTCCTTATTGTCTCATGATGTCACAGAGGTGATGTGGAGAGGCAGCCCTGGCCCAGTGTGGGGGAGGGGGGAATGGGGATGGAGATGGGATCCCCAGCTTGTCTCTTGTCTGAAAGTACAGAAAAGTTTGTTTCTGGTTGCCTGCAAAGGCTCCCATTTGCTGCCAGGTGCCTTGTTTCAGGGGGCCAGGCCCTGGATGGGTTGACAAATGTGCCCCTGGCTCCACTGCCCTAACAATGTGCAGACCTGTGGCTGGCTTCTGCTGAAGGGCCAGGCCATGGCAAGTCCTGGGTCTACGAACACCAAGGGAGAACCCAGGGGTCAGATGGGACCTTGGTGACTGTCCCTCCCAGAGGATGGGATCCATAGTGGGCTGATTGGCCTTGCCTGAGTTAGTGACCCCTCCATCCTTCCCCCTCTTCTGGCTTTATTGTCTTCCAGCTGGCTGCTGCTGGTTGGTCAGTCCCGCTCAGTTGGCCCCAAAGTCAGAGTCCTGTTGTCCTGCCCCCACCAACCCCCAGGTCGAGCTCTCCCCAGAGTAGAGCTGTGCTCAAGCACAGTGGAGCGACCTCATATTCCACTTGACTGTTCCCAAGCACCTGAGACACAGACTTCCCAGGAGACTGTGTGGGAGGGCAAAGACAGGTGCTCGACTGAGCTTGCAGTCTCCTGAGGTCTGCCCACCCCTAGATGGCATGATCACTGCAGATCACACGCTGTTGCCTTCAGTGTCCGATTTTTCCCATAAACACCACTCTGGTGGCCCTAGAGTGTCCACTTTGGGAACACCTGCTTGTGCTTTTCCCCTCCCCGGAGCCTCGGATTCAGACTCCTTGGAGGCTGCTTTGAAAGCCCTGTTTCCTTTTGTCAGTGGGGTGCTTGGGCTTCTGCTACCTGCAGTCCTGGCTGACCACGCCCAACTTGAGTCTATTTGGATAACTAACCTTTGAAGTACTTGATTGGGGGCTCAAGGTATAGCCTGTTCTGTTGAAAACAAGCACTTCACTGGTCCTCTTCGAGGCCAGCTCTGATCTTCCCCGCCCCTGCCCCTGTCCTAACCTCCACTGTGGACCTGTTCTCTGTTACCCAGACAGCAGGTCCATGAAGTGATTTTGTTGGCTTATGGGTTAGGCGCTTTTCAAGGGCCCTGCTTTACACACAGTCACTCCCAAGGACATGTCTGACTTGTTGAGCTAGATGTGACCAAAGAAAGCCCTCATCTAACTGTATTTGAAAAAGGATGAGAGCCTGGGTGTGGGACTGGATGAAACCCAATTGAGAATC